ACTTCACCGAAAGAACCAAAGAGAGTGATTTCCTGCAGTCACAAAAGCTTCAAATCAAGATTGAACCGCCTCTACGGGGAGGATTTCCACACAACTCAGACATGACTTTAACTGAGAAGATGGATGCAAAATTGAGCAATCTTTGGAAGGACGTTGACCAACCAAGTAAAGTGTTAACTGTTGTGTTGGCCGACTCTCTGAGTTGCATTACATTTCTAAGTTTGCTAGATTTTATATATTTTTTCTTTTTTCTCTCTCTATCACCTTGTTCCCTCTAAATTCTGCCCCCACCCTCTCACCCGTTGTGACGGCCCCCCCTCCCCTCCCTCCCTCCCTCCCTCCCTCCCCCCCTCGGATTGGCCTAGGTGTGCTAGCTCTGCGATCCTGCATTTACTTGTTAATTCCATCCCTAGCGGCGCCCACTTGCCCTTGGGTTGTGCCCACCACAGGCGTATGTGGCCTCTGGTTGCGGTGGCTCTCTCGCTACATTTCCTCCTGCCTCTGCAGTCCGCCTGCTGTGTTGTTTCACCTGAAGACGATGGCTTGTGTTGCTATCGAAACGTCGCGATTTATTAGTTATTTTTCTATCTACGTGATTTTACCGAAAGAACCAAAGAGTATGAATTCCTGCAGTCACGAAAGCTCCAAATCAAGAATGGCTAGGAGCATTGGCGAAGTGGTTAGCGCAGAGCAACCCGGGTTAGATTCGCAGCGACGTTAACATTAGCGGCGAGGGATAAAACCAGTTGCGAGTGCCTCGTTCACCAACCCACCTTGACCAGCATGGTAATGGAAGATCAGACAACCTCCATGACCGACATAGAATGGGGAAATCTTTAATCTAGTAGTGGATTGCCAAGGGGTTGTAAATTATATATTATACAATTATTACTGATTGTAGCATACACGCAGCGCAAATGCAAACAAATGTAATTCCACACATAAACTTGCAGGGGTTGTCAATACAGGAATGCGGCTAGAGCGTATTAAAACCCATGGTAGGGCTGGAAGTGGAGATTGTTCGCATTCTAAATACGTCAAATGTCAACTGCACATCACATTGCTCAATGGCAGAGCACCAGCTAAGTGCGGGCTCAGAAGAGATGTGTGTCCTGAACGCGGGGAATCGTACGTCCTTCTGTCTCAGCCGCGAGGAGTGAAAGGTGCGATGGAACCCAACGCACATGGCCTCGCTCCCCCCCCGGACCCCCGCAATGTCACCAGCGCTAACATGCCACATCCATCAGCCTTCCCATGGGCAGCGGGTGGCGAGAAGCTAGAGACCAGATCAAAGTGCCTTAATAAAACAGCTCTATTTTGTTGTAAAAGATTAACTGGAAACTGCTGCTTTTTAGAAAAATACAGCTGCGAATGTTCAACCTGGTCCATTTTTTTGAAAGTGACATGTTTGCTTAGAGGACATCAAAAAGCAAAAAAAGTTTTACACTACAGTGAGTATAATGCAGTCTTGAATTAAAACCAGACTTTGAATGGCTGTTAGATTCATATATGTACATTCTTATAAGTCTCCAAAGGGGTACACTTTGCGGAGCTCACGTGTGTGATGTGCACGCATAGTGCGACCCCAATGCTTGCTACGACCGAACGGAGACGGTGTAACATCTCCATTGGCAATAATGACAGACGCCAAGTAATGTAATGACCGTGCATCTGAGGAATTGTGGTGAATGTTTAATAGTAAATTGCAATACGACAATGATTCTATGATTTTAAAACAATATCTATATTCCTGTGCTCAGAATAAGTAAATTAAAGCGTCTTCAATCTTATAATGTTACCTAAACAAATGCTTCTCGAAAAAATATTGGTCTGGGAAGCCAATAGGCTGATGGAATAAAACTATTTGTTTTCATATGTGCAGACGCAATGGAGTTTTTCTCATAAATACTTTTCTCACGTAATTGTAGATTATGCATTATCTGTTGAAATTTCAAGTACTATGCATGAATGTTGATCTTAGGATAATTGAATAAATGGGACGGAACACAAAAAGTACAACTTCTAAAGCTCCGAAATAAAAATAATAATAATAACCCCCCCCCCTTTTCCTGAAGACGACCGCTTGTGTTGCGATCGAAATGTCGCCGTTATTTTAGTTATTTTTTGTTATTTTCTTTGAACCTATCTACGTGACTTTACCGAAAGACCCAAGAATATATATAAAAATATATAGTTTCTTGAATTCATTCATAACTTGGATTGGCGCAGAGGTGATGAATAATTGCATGCCTACTAACTTGGTTGGTTTACAAAGAGACTCAATTAATAACTAAACAACATAATTAAGTTTTACATTTTAGTGAGATATCTTTGTTTAAAATGTATTAAAAAAATGTTTATGCGGAAGTAGTTTGGATAACCAGAATTAGCAACTCTGCACGTTCTTCCTGAGGCATTATTAATCGGTATATCATTAATATACAACTCACTTTTGAGTGTTTCATAAATATATTTAGAACGACAAAAAAAGCACTCGGAACCTAGTACGTTTTCTTCAGTAGCTTCTAAGGGACCCTGAGGAGTGTTTGCTAAGCAATGCGGATGTTCGTTTAGTGTTATTTTATTTACGGAGCACATTGCTCATTGCGGACAGCTGAAGGGTAATTAGGCAGAGAGAACCTCCCCCCCGCTGCTCGCATGGAAATGCATGGCGGCTTCTGGCCAGAATCCAGCAGGGCCATCAGCGAGCGCATACACACACACATCTGGAATCCTTGCCATGCCGCGTATTGGAACACCTTGACTTCCCCCGCCGAGTTATGAACGCGGCCTTTCAGTGGGAGCAAAATGTTGGCTCAAAATGTTCAAATCGCAGTATGGACGGGACCCAAGGTTTGTTTTCTACCTCCCAAATCGCAGGTCTCGTGAGCCACCGTGATATGCATGCCTCTGCATGTTTACCAACAATCCTCTCTGTTCAAATACAAATCAAGTCACACTGGCGCGCCACGTGCCAAATTGCTAAAACGTGTGTCAGGTGGCATAGAGTGGCATCCAACTGAAGTGAATTCCAACCGATGTGATATTTTTCTTTGCTATTCACTCGCTGGCGAACTTTCAACTGGACAATAATGATATATCAACATCATTTAGCAGTAATTATATAACATATCAACACCAGCCCGTTGAACCAGTCCAGAGCCCTCATTGGTCACTGTGGTGGCTGCCACCATTGCCGCCAGGTTAACAGCTTGCTTAGTATCATCAGCTTTATTTCAATCCGCAATCTCTATGTTTTGTGGGATGTGTTAGCAATGTGATGCATACAGTATGTAAGAACTCTGTATTTGAATTGAAAATATCGGTGAACTTGGTGGTTGATGAGGGCTGCCATTTGGAAAACTCTGGTTTATGCAAACACACTTGCTGTTACTGCAATGGTTTTTGTGAGCCCATTGTCTGATAAAAAATTATTTAATTTAGTTGCATATACTTACCATGCATTGTTATTAAGTGTTGTGTATTATCATTATTTTACATAGGCGATATTCTTTAAATTTGAGTTAAAACGAAACCCCAGCTAATTTCTGCATCCAGCGCTACACATTGAAATGCCATTCATCCGTTTTGTCCCGCTGAATGTTATTCTCGGCCCACATTAACACTCAATTAGCGAGTATGAGGCAGCGTCGCCTTAAACGTGCCCGAAGCTGCCAAGTTTAAATGGGTTCCCTCCGCAGTGAAGCGTCGCGTATCGTCTCTCAGCTGGCATGGCCGTTGGCTTTTTGCGCCTCGTCGCGGTTTTAAACAGCTGTTGGCTCGCGTGGTCCGGCAGTAACGCGGTGCCTAAGAATTGTTCTGAACCAAATGAGAGCGCGTAATTTCTCTCACCAGACAGGGTTGCAAGTTATTGCCGTTTCGGGAACCCGTCAAGCAAGAAACTCCGAAATATATGCCTTGACTTAGTGAACAGCCAAAGCTGTGCACAACAATTGGAGTTACTTTTTTAAAACTTTATTCATTTATGGCTGCATGAACTAGATTACCTGACCGATGATGAGGAAAAAACTTCACCATACATATTACACGTGTATCTTTGTGTACCTGGTTTTGAAAATCATTCACCTTGTTTTATACTTTGGTTGTTTCTTTTGTTCTTGAACATGAATGCTGATGTGATGTTAATGCGTCAGCTGAGGGGCTAATTGGTCTTGCATATCATGCGTTTCACTGTACTCGCGAGCTCCATTCCAATATGAATGGAGAGAGCCACGCCATTCATTGCACTCATTTCCTGAATCAGAAGTGCACCCTTCAACGCACTCGCATGTCCACTTCTACCCACATCAGCTATCACAGACGTCCCACTCTCGGCGTATTTATACTGTGATTGAATCAAGCACATCATCGGATAATGGCTCAAACCATTGCATGAATTGAACAAGAAAAGTCTTCCCGGCAATTTTATTTTTTTCCATTCAGCTGGGGGGGGGGGGGGGGGGGCCCTAACATAGCATCTTGGCCACTACAAACAGACTCCATAACAATCCAGTTTGTCAGGCCAAGTGAAGTACAAGAGAGAGCTAACCTAACCAAATCCATCTGCGCGAGCGTCAAGAGCGGCACGCGTAGTGTTTCATCCCGTCGAGACAGCTCGCGTAATCCGGGGATGTGCTGGCGTGCTGCACGCATATGTGGGAATGTACTTGTGCACGTGTGTACTTGTTTACGGTTTGTGTACTCCGCTATGAACCTGGTTACCCGAGTTCAATTCCTGGCCTCAGCCAACATCAGTGAAGAGTGGTATCTGAACCGGTCCTGGGGCCCCCTTCCCCCTAGGTCGCTACTAACCTCAAAAGAATGTCTGGTGCGCTGTGTTAAACATCACCGCTGGGGGAGACGAAGGCGCCCGGGTGTGACACTGGCCACCCACACCGCCTCGTGCACCGTGCGTCAAAGGCGCTCGCTTAGCAGCACTTGCGCCGACTGTCTGTTCAAGGCTTCGCGGGGGGATCTTTGTCCGTGTGCCCTTGTGTCAGGACACCATGAGACAGAAGGATGACCGGATCGAGGAGCTGGAGGAGGCGCTGAGGGAGAGCGTGCAGATCACGGCCGAGCGGGAGATGGTGCTGGCACAGGAGGAGTCGGCACGCGCTGCCTTTGAGAAGCAGGTCCTCTCCCACACGGCCCACACCTCCACCACCATGCATCCCATCTTCCCCTCTGGCTCTCTCCTCTCCTATCTGCCTGCCTAGCCTGCGTGTCTGGCGGTTCATCTGCTTTTTGCTGTGATTGGGGTCCCATAGTTTATACGGGGGTGCTCTTGACGATAACATCAGCTAATCCAGCAGCATTTGTTTAACTGGTTTGCATCTCCTGATGAAACCCAGAATGCTGAAATTGGTCCAGAGTCTGCTTGCTTAAGCAAGTGGTGCTGGATAATATTGATAGTGGTCTGAAAAAACAAAAGGCAGATGGACATTATACAGGGTGTTTGAAAAAGATGGACCCAATTTCAAAGTAGTATATTTCACGATGGCAACATGTTACAATTACACAAAGTTCCAAACGGTTTAATGAGTTATCAAGTTTTACCAACCATTTTATAAATTATCTATGTGCCCTCCACCTGCTGTACGGACAACATCAAGACAATAGTTGAATTCGTCCCAAAAGCCTCTCTCAAAGTGTCTCCTTCCACTGAAGTCACCGCTGCCGTGATTCTGTTTTTGAGGTCATCCAGATTAGTCGCTAATGGTGACACAAAAACACGGTCTTTTTGGCCAACCTTGCTCTTTGACATTGGCGGATCAATGCCAAAACGCCGTTGAAACGCACGCTGCACCGCAATTACGGATTCAGTCTTGCTGAACCGCAGAACACAAAACGCCTTGTGTTGCGGGGTCACCGTCTTGCGAATGACTGAGGCTATGGGCTGTTTGTGCGCTGGGAGAGGCATCTAGCGGTAATCATATTAAACTCTATGCCCCGCCCTTTCAAGTGGTAAGAGTTTCATTCATGGGCGGTTTGTGGTTGCAGACACATAGCGATTTCAAATCGGGTTCATCTCTTTGAAACACCCTGTATACATGTGGAGACACAGAACCTCCTGATTGATACATTTATAGATACCCCATTATATCAGGTTGATGAGAAAATAAAATTGTATTTCATGGCCACCTCCTGTCCCGCGACCAATCGGAAGAATCCAAATTTTATTCGTTCAGCCCTCTCCACTGTAAGATTTTGGAGCCGTCTCTTCTGCAAGTTTCAGTCGCTGTTTGAATATAAATTTAAGAAGGTCATAAATATGTGGGGTGTTTGTAAATGGATCACCCTGTATATTGCCCCATTCAGAAAACATTGCTAATTGTCTCGTACTGAAAACAAATTATTGATGCCTCAATTGGCTCTCATCCATTGATAAATAATGGAACCTGCCTGCCTGTATTGTCCTGGAGGTAAGTGTGGTTATTGTTAATTGAAGTAATCTTTGGACGGTGCACACGTAAATGTTCATGTAGATATGTACCTGTGCATTATAAGGATTGACAAGTGTTTTGTAAAAAGTTAACGAGATGTGATGGAAAATTTTACCAATGCATTTTTATTTCTCTTTCTGGGTCGCCAAGGCTGCTCTGGGTGTGGCTTTACGACAGTCCGTGTCACTGCAAATTACTTGGCAATGCTGCTGCTGCATTTATAGTGTAGCAGCATAAAAAAACTCGACACATTTGCCAAATAACACTGGCCTTAAAAGGATAGATGTATGACGGGCAACGTTTTGGGTAACGGCCCTTCTTCCTTCCACAAGATGTGCTTTTTATTTAACGTGTTACTGCAAATGATTATTGTTTGGGTCTTGCGGTAAAGTTACTTAGATAGGTTCAAAGAAAATAACAAAAACTGATTTTGAGTTTTTCTGCCGCATTCCTCACGATTCTGTGCCGTGCAAACATCGCGCAGGTGGCATAGTTAGGGCACGCACGCTCTCTTCCCGTCTCGTCGAGAACGTCAGACGTTTGCTTTTCTTAGAAACGGTTACGCAAAACGTCGACCGTGTGGCCTTGTGCACCTTGGACCCGGGAGGAAATTGATCACAGCGCACAATGGGACCCGAATTCATCTTTCTCGATGTCTGAAAGCATTCTTGTCCTCACGGCTGTCTTGACACTTAAATAACGCCAACGGCGGACGCATCAAACGGTTGGGAATATTGAGCGGACGTGATTTAACGCCAGTGCTCTAGAGCACCCCTCGGTATGCGTGTGCCGCCTGCTGTTGTGCGGGTCATGCCGAGGTGTGTGCTGTCCCTTGCATTCGTGAACTCGCCAAAAGCCACAGTTTGGCTTGGCCTGGCGCCTTAGCGTGGAGCATGACAACGGGGGAAAGAATGCACATTGAGGCTATTATAGACCAGTGTTGTTCAATATATCCTCCCTCCAAGGAAAACGGCAGTGTTACTTAATCCCGAGTATCTGTTCAGAGGAGTAACACCTTTGACTCTGGCTGTTACCGGTCTTTTCAGGCCATTCTGTGCCTAAGCCTATTGCATTTCAAAAGGGATATTTAGCACTTATTTCCTGGTATAAGGTTTGTTGTCCCAAACAATTCTGTGCCAGCAGCGATCCTAAGATCTGTCCATATTGGGTGTCAGAAAGGACCTCTTTCAGGTCCATTCCTGACAGCTGGTTAGCCTTTAACTCAAGCTGTTTTCTTTACAAACAGTTTCCAGCATTTTGCTTGAGGTGTGTGCACCCTTCGAGGTGAAGGGGCCTCCGTAGTGGTAAACTTACTCGCTGGCTTTTTTTGCTTCTCCTAAAGCAAAAACAGAATACATGCCCTTATACTACTATAAGGAAATAAAACCAATTGACGAATTGGCAGACGATGCTCTTCTGTTTAAACTTGACTTGCAACCCTCCAGCTGTTTTCAGAAAAATGTTAAAGAATCACAAAAGGTTGTATTTAAAAGTGATGTTGTTGTCCTCCGATTTCCATTGCGTTGACAGTTAATTAAAAAAAAAGTCCTGAAGTTTTATAATTTCACATCTTCGAGCTTGTGCCCTCTGTTCAGTGGACGCTATCGAGAAACATCCGACTGGGATGAAGCCGATAATGTTGCTCTCTGGAAAGCTAATTGCCAGTCGCATAGTGATAATCGTCAGTGCAATAACCACTAAACATTATTAAGTCAAATTTAAAACTTCCCTGGTGGGGGCGATGGGTCACACTTGCGTCCCCATAGGGCCATGTAAGCGATGTGCTTGCAAATATGTAACGTTATACTCTCATATCCCACAGTGCATCAATCCTTCAATATGTGCCAAGGCCGATTTTTTGCCAACATGTTAAACCTTTTGATGTTGCTCATCGGTGTACAATTTCCAATATTACCTTGCCCATCGGTAAGCTAAAATGTATAGGTTATTAAGCAATAATCAGCAACACCTTTGCAAACATTTGTATTTCCACAGGATACATGGCATTGCAATGCCTGGGGGTAAAGTGTTTCATTGTGTGTTTCCTCTGAAGAAGAAGCTGAACAAACATTTAATTTCTTTCCCTGCCCATTGGCTACGTTGAGTTATGTTGTCGGAAATAGTTCAGTATACATCAATTTTACAAAACGACCGAAGAGGAAACCTGTATTTTCGAAACAAAGGGATGCTGCACATTTTACAATAATTCATCTTTTGTGAATATAAGAAGAAAAACTTAATTACATTCAATGTGTTATACTCTGAAAACGTGTGACAACGGGTATATTTTGAATATGCTCGTCCAACGGCCCGAGTTAAGACCTCCGTTGCAACCGAATTCAACGTTGCCATTAATATTGATACATGGTGTGGCATTTTAGGTAACAGTGCGTGACATATTGAGAACTATTGCTTTCCTGTATTGTGTGGTTTAAAAACTTTTTATTCGCGCATATATTTTTACCGCAAATATATTATTAATGCTGCAAGAGCAAAGCAGATTCATTTTTCATCCTTGTTCTACGAGTGAAAGGGCCTAAAATTTTCTTGGACATGTGTGGTGACCATTTTTCTGGGTATTTTGTTCTTTTTCTAGAGAGAACGTTGGCAACCTTCCAACCTCGTTATAATGTAATGCCTGCACAGCGAACACACGAAAGTAGGTGGAAGGTGATCACACAGTTTGACGTGCGTTATTTTAGAAGTGGCTGCATTTCTTCGCCCCGTTCAGCAAACTTTACCCATGCTTAAGGAGCGAGAGCATTGGGACAGTTTTAAAACTCTGCCTGGTTTCAGCCTGGAAAACATAATTACCCGTCACTAACGACAATAGTGTAATCCTTGCACAGCGATGGCCAGGCTCTGTTTCAGTCGGGTGTTATGTTTCATGTTTAACCGTGTATTTTCCCTGCCATGAGATTGAGAGAGGGGGGGGGGGAAAGATGAGCAAAGCACACGTTTAGGAAAGATTACACGAACCAGGCCTGTCTGTGCTAAGAGGCCTGCGATACAGCTGATGGCACAGAAGCCCGTTACGGTTATTGGTTGGGGCAAAATGAGGATAGTAAAGTCACCCCGGCCTGAGAGTATGCGGGAATTACAAAAACGAAGGGCCCTTTTGGTTTGCTTAGTGTAACCTGCAACTATGCGAAGTTGGCCAAAACTAGCACCGGACACATCCGCTGAGAAAGCCAAACTTGTTATTTTTTTGTTGCTTTTTCACCGCCTCAAGTTGTGTTATTGCTGAAATTGCACGTTTAATTAAACAGAGAAGATGTATGTTTTGCGGCCAGGAAAAACATTTTTTGTTGCAGTTTTCGCCGTATTTGATGAGCAACACACACTGGGAGGCGTTTCCCAGGACTCGGGCGCGTTCGCTGCATTGTGAACCCGAGGGGAGCTAAAAAAAAAAGTGCATAAACTTTGCATGAAAAGTAAACTGCGTGCCACTCTGCAATTGTAGCCCTACCCATAATGCATCATTATTACTGGCAGCTGCCATAAGGCGGCAAGTCGCGGCGCCCGTGATTGACGTGTTCTGCTCCGCGGCATCACATGGGTCTTTTGTGTTGGCATGAAAAAAAACTTGCGGTAGAATGAAAATCAGTCAGCACCCAGTCCTGTTGCTCGAAACATTGACTTATACAGTATATGCACAGCTTGTAACTTTTGTTTTTTTCTTTAAAAAATGTTGAATTTGAGAAACAGCAGCAAAATGGCGCACCTGTGCGAAATGTAAAAAAAAAATCGACTCTGCGTGCGTTTAGGCAGCACGCTGCGCTGGGCTTTTCAAGTTTTACGTCTGATTTGAGTTCGTTCTGTTCGCAACTGTGACTTTCCTTGTGTCAAGATGCAGCACTGCATGTTAAAAGCACACCACGATTTCCATCACAGTTTGAAAAATGCCGTATATTAATATGGGTGCTATGAATCTGATATCAAAAGAATTTGGAGGCCCACAACTGCAAAGGCAACAGCTGAGAAAAGGAAGCAATGTAAGGAAAATGGGGGGGGGGGGGGGGGGTGGGCGTTGCAGAGCCGTGCAAAGTTACAGGCTGACAAAAAGTGAAACATCACAAATAACAAGCTATGGGCCTGGTCACCTGAGTTCTATTCCTGGCCATGGTTATTGTCAGTGGCAAGTGATATCTGAACCCCTGCCCACCCCCCCCCCCTGCCCACCAAACCCACACTGGCCCCAGTGTGGTGCAGTACACCGGTCAGTGCGGGTTGGTGAAGGCAGACGTGGGAACACAGAATCACAGTACAAAAATTGATGTCTTTGCACTGCCCTCTTTTGTCCCCACAATGTAGTAGAACCATGCTGATAAGCCATAAAGGTTGGAATTGAATCAGTCCAAGCGTTTATTTCTCATCGGAAAGCCATCACTGTATTTACATTTGCTAAAGAATGTGTCAAACATGGTGGCACGATGGTAAGTGCATTTTGCGTTGCGCACTTTTCTGCGCTCAATTCCCGGCTACGGCTCACATCTGCGATATCTGGACCAGTTCCGAGCCTCTTCCCACCTTTACAAAACCGCACTGACCAGCGTAGTGAAGTATGGTCAAGCAGCCCCCCCCCCATGCCAGACGCACATGAAGGCGATCAAAACATTTGCAGCCCACATTCTACAGGGATTGTGCTACAACGCCTTCTGTGTTAGGCCACTGACTTTCCGATCCCCACTTGTGTACACAAAGTAGCCCGGCTCAGCAGAGATGCAATTCTTTGGTTAGACAGCAAAGTGTATTCCCATAGACCGTACAGGGTGGTCCACGTGTTACAGATTCATAGGATGGACAATGCATTTTCAGGATGCTTTATATTAAACAGTAAATTTCGGCCATCCGTTTCATAGGTTGAGCACACATTGCTTATTTCTACTCGTCCATAGTATTTCGGGAGTTCCATAGTGTCAGTGTTTTGTTTATTTTTCGTTTTATTATTCATGCGCTATTAATCTGTTTCCGCTTTCCACATTCTACGTCATGTGCCGGAATGCCAGGTGTGCCGCATTTACTTGCCGAGCGTTTCTCCTGTCACTGAACACGAGGTCGCAGAGTCGGGCTTTTGTTCTTCTGTTTGCAGTTTAGCATGTCCACGTGTGTAAAATGCACTGAATTGAACTCAAATTATCTGATCATGGACTTAACCAGATGTTTGAACTCTCGTTTTTTGGAGAGAAAAAAACGAACACGCGCATGCGGCGCGTACGGACGCGCGCATACGCACAGAGAATACACACCCCTAATTATTACAGATTTCAGGGCTATTAGTTGTAAGCAAAAAATTGTTTGTTATCGCGCACTTGAGATCTCGAAAAATGTGCGAGGTGGGAACTTTCACGAATTTTGGCATCAGAAGAATTTGAACTCGTGCGGAGCCCATTTCCATGTGCAGCGGTGGCGTGCCCCGACTGCTCGCGATGACGTGTGGGTCTGCTACGGCATACAATGGACCGCACGCGCGATGCAGCTTGCACGAAACGCATGCAGCTCGCGTGCATTTAGTAAAATTGCTAGTCACGCCGATGCCCATCAAATGGCTGCATAAAAGATGTAAAACGTATTCCATAATGGGTGTAAAATATTTGCAAATGCACGAAATGGGAGAGATATCGTGCAGACAATCGCATTATATGTAATGATTCACCTTCATAAATATGTAAAGGGCTAAACCTGCATTTAAACTATAACTAAAAAATGAAAAAGTGTGTGTCTAAAGGCCTTTTGAGGACATTTAGGCGATGTCTGATACGAGTATGTATGTTACGGTTAACCCCCAGAGCTATTTGATGATTTGTCACGTTAGGATTCAAGAATATATTTTTTCTCTCGTTTTTACCATCTCGGTTCTATTGCTTCCTGTTTTTTCACTGTTAACTAAATGTAATATTATCATTACATGTGCATATAATTTCCATAAATAACTAATAACCAATTACAATTTCCCGTATTTGATGTGTGTGTGTGTTCAGAGGGACGGCCTATTCGTATGAATCGAAATGTAATTACTTGAATAGGTACAGACCTGCAGTGCCCTGTCATAGGCTTGTAATAATGCACACTGTGGCCTTCTTCTTGTGTGCGTTCCACCGTGCTCCCTATAGCTCCAGGACACAGGTGGGGTACTGGAGAAGACCAGGCAGGAGCTGGACTCCACCAAAGCCAAGCTGAGCTCCATGCAGCAGTCTCTGGCCGAGAAGGAGGCTCACCTCACGAACCTACGTGCCGAGCGCAGGAGGCAGCTGGAGGAGGTCCTGGAGATGAAGTGAGTCACCCCGCACCCTTCCCAGGCTTTGCTGACAACATCCCTCACTTGTAACCTATGTTTCCACTGTGCAGGCAAGACGTGCGGCCATGCCGAGTCAGCCCGGCACGGCTCGAGAGACACCAGTTTTTTTTCCACTGCAGAACCGAGCCGTGACGTCAGAGTGCTGCTGACGCATGTAGATGTGGTGATGCTTTGTTTGAATTGTACTGACGTCACACACCACGAACACATCATTGTCCTTTCCCCTGGCCCTGCTTGGCCGTGAGCCAGGTTCAGACATTTTTTGAGGCCAGATTATTACAATCTGGTTCTGGTTCAGCTCTAAAATTATCCAGTGAAAAAAACACTCATGCCGTGAAGGTCTCGCATTGGCTTGGCTCAGATGTGCCAGTGGAAAGGAGTATTAACTCGCCTTTTCTTATTCAGTGTTAGGGCCACTGGGATTTTTTGCAGAAATTACTCGCCCGAGCATTAGCAGTGATGCTAACCATGATTGTTTCTGTTTATTGCTTCCCCATGACATTGAAGTCAGTGGCATTGAAAGAGATGATGAAATTTCCATTTGGAATTTCTGTGGAGAATAAATGCTGCGGTCAGAATAACCCTGGAAGATGAAATCAACTAACTATTTCTGAAGTCGCTTCACGAAACTTCTTTCAACCACACTAATGGCACACCTTTTATTCCTTTCAAAGATTGTTGACTGCATTTCAATGGAACTGAATTTCTCTTTTCATTCTGAAAGCTGGAATAAGTCAAATTAAGTGAAATCCCCATATTTCATGCGATTTTTTTTCAGGCAGTCATTACAGTGGCTGGATGCTAAGACCATCAACCAGCTTCACTTTAGAACATGGTATAATCTCAGGGCAGATTTTTTTTATTCGGACCAAGGATCTCGACAGTGCCAGCTCAGCACTTTAACCGCTCCCGTTCCCTGTAAATCACGAGCGTCACCAAAGCCCATTTGTTTAGCAATGAGGCTCTATGCACCGCACCATTAAGCGCGCGTCACAGATGTTTCTGATTCCCAAAAAGCATGGTAGTGTTAATGTTCTCTGTAACCGCCCGAATGGTGCAGATAGGACCATGCAAAATGGAGTGATCCAATGCAATTCGACGCCGGCATGGAGTTCGGATCTTGTCTGATCGGTTGCTCACATCGCATTGCGCCATAGCAATCAGTGGGTATTGTTGGGTGGTCGGTCAGTTAAGCCTCGATCACTGGCTCTTACTAGTTATCAAGGATGAGGATCATTAGAATATTTTTGAGTCAATTTTCAACAATTCTAGAGATATTGGTGGTGCAGTGGTTAGCGCACTGGCCTTTAAATCCATCAGTGGGGAGTGATATCTGAACTGGGGCATTGCGGGAGCGAGATGTTAACTACCTAAAATAGCATACAGGAGGTCGTCGGTTTGAGTCCGACCCTCACACCTGTTTATTTGGATTTTACATGTTTTTCCCGTGGTCGCGTGGATCTGTCTCTGGGTCCTCCGGTTTTTTCCCCCCACATTTATAATCAACATGCGTTTAGGGTATTTGACTGCTATAAATTTCCACTAGATAAGCCACTGTTGGGCTATCATTTATGATAGCCAGGTCACTTCTCAAAAAGGGCTATATAGCTCAGTGGGCCTTACCTAGTAAAAAATGAATAGTATTCCTTTACCGACTCGCACTGACTCGTGTGAAATATGGTCAAACAACACCCATGACTAATGCAGCATGACATGGTGTGGGGAAGCCTTTAATCAAAAGTGGATTGACAAAGGGCTGTAATTGATCATATTAGAATGATCAAATATTGAAAGGAATAAATTGGGGTGTGTAATTAACATGCAACTATGTTAAATTGCTTTAAAGTAAACATTTCTTGAAAATGTTGACATAAAAATTTCCGTTAACATTCACAGCGTGCATGATGTGCACATCGTACATATAGAATGCATAATATGCCTGTGAACAATCACATAATCTAATAGCCTGCATTTAGAGCACCAAATTCCCACCAGCCCACGGGCAGCTTACCAGTGGGTTTTCCCTGCACTCATTTAAGTGCTCGGTAATTTATACGGTTAGTATAAAAACGTGAAATCTAACACAGCGATTTGAATACTTTTTTTGTACTTCCCCCCCCTCCTCCCCCCTCTAGAAATTGTTACAGGCTTCCTTCTCTCTTGCCCCAGCCACGTCCAGCTCCCACTCTTAACCCCTCCCGGGCAAAAAAAACCCGCACTGAACAAACCCAAAGCCCCACTGAGCAAACGAGCAGCTTTGCGTGGGCGTCACGCCAACGTTCACTCCGCTGTCACTTTCTAAACAAAGGAAGAGTCAGTCCGTACCCTCTCCCCCTCAACTACTCCGCCGCTTGAGCCCCAGCTGTGAGTTGATTCCGACGCAGCTTGACTCGGAGGATGGGGGGGGGGTTACCATTACTCGGGGGTTACCGTGACGTGGCGGCGAGCTTTAGCCCTGCTCCGAGCCCTTCGCAAGACCACCACCACCGCCGCCCCCCCACGCACCCCCCCCCCCCCCCCCGTCCCCCACGGTATTGCTGGCAACTTGAAAAGGTCAGCGATGGAGTTGAAAGGGCCTGCGCTGCTCCTGCTTGACAGCACGCTGCCTCGCTTCGAGGGCACCTGCGCTGGCCGACCGTGTTTCAGAATCAGAATCTTTATTTGGACTGGAAGAATCTGATGAGCCGATTCCGGCTCCTTCTTCGCAGATATCCAGTAGGGGCTTGTCAGAACGTTATAACTACAAACAATGCAAAATCCGATTGAGGAGTGCAAAGTACAGGAAAGCTGAGCAAATTACGAAATAAATATAAATAAAGTATACGAGTACAAATTGCATAAGTACATCATTTCCTGCTAATATCTCAACACCAAATGCCAATCTTGGGCAAGGCAGCAAAACAAAAACAGTCTCAGACCACACCAAGACAACACACAGTCCCTCAATAAAATTGCACATTAAAATTGAACTATTGTTCTCCATGGGTCGTGTCTGACTACGGGCAAGCACGTTATTGACGCAGTGCTATTGTGTGCATTCCTATAAAGGGGAATGTGCCATTTTTTTTGGGGTGGGGGGGATGTGGGGGAGGTTTCTTCTCCCTGGCCTCCGATTGTAAAATAAGCACATTGTCCTAACGTGTGCAGGTGCTCTTCATACCTCCCTCTCCACCTTTTGACTTTGTTAATCAAACCTTTCAGTCAAGTCCGCTCTCAAAGTGAAACAACGTAGGGCATTCTCAAAAGTGGCTGTTTGGCAGTGCGCACCAGAGCAAAAACTGCCCGGTCAAAACTGTCATTCTTTAATAATAATGATCATTGAAAAAAATGGGAAAGCCTCACTTGAGCCTTAAACTCTTTGTCAGGAGGCTCGTGCATTGTGATGTTGACCAGTACCATTCGTAAATGTTTGACATGTCGGAAGGAAATTAGAGTGCCTGGAGAAAACCCACACATTAGAGGGCTAACACTCAGCCCTGTCATCTCCTGGCCACCTTGCAGCCCCCACTCCTCCAACACCTTGAAAATGTAGAAATGACCTGCAGTTACCCAATTGTGATTAAACTTGGCAACATGGCCCCCGACTGTGAAATTACCGGAGACTCTGCCTGTGAAACATAGCACCTTTGTGATGGCCTTGTGCGATAAAAATGAATACCCAATATTATGATCTTATTCCTGTTATTATTACTCCCTGGCAAGGTCTGATGGCCACCCATCCAAGTACTAACCAGGGTCATCAACCCTGTCTAAGCATCACAGGTCCGATGGGATCAGGCACATTCATGGTGATTTGCCAAAGTTTTAGGATAAATGGGTTCAACATACAATGTTTGCGAGGTTTAATCTCCTTAGAAGTACCGAAATGTTGGGTTATCTCAATGTGATTGCAGCTGTGCTATGATTGCAGCTTGAAGCGCTACTAGCCATGCGGCATGTTAACCTTAAAGGTTTTGGTGACTGTAATGTCCTTAGCAGAGGATGTAACTGAAGTAATTTGATAATCTCAGATGGGTATATAATACATCATCGGAACATGTGGTACTGCATTTCTTTTTTTTTAGCATTACGTCAGTCATCGCTGAGCAATAACATTATCCATACATGTGTGTTTTTATAACGCAACTTCTTTGTCATTCTTATAAAAGTGACAGCTGTCTTGAAGGCACCATTATTCACAATCCGTAGATTCTGCTACCATAAAAAATAGGAACAAATGACCCATACATAAAGGGCCTTCCCATGGGATGACTATCAATGCAGAAAGGTCAGTAACTAATTCAGTAATAGATATGTGCTCACGATACCTCGCACTAGCAAGATTTCCAAAGGCAGAGTATAGACAATGACGAATGTTGTTTCCAGCGACAATTATTACCATGCAAAAAAGACAGTGATCTGTAATTTATAAATTAAAAACACTCACTATGGTCATACTTAACCGTTCCGTATTGCAGAAAAAAATTATGACAAGCTTACATTTGAAGTAATGGGCCCTCTTCTTCAGTTGTTGTCAAAGACATAAACAATCTCTTTTATCTCTTTTATTGTGTTATTTTATTTGATCAATTTATTATTTTATTCTCATTCTACGTGACTTTACCGAAAGAACCAAAGAAGATGAATCTCTTTGGTTTTATTCGGTAAAGTCACGTAGGTAAAATTATTTTATTTTATTTTACCTACGTGACTTTACCGAATAAAACCAAAGAGTAGGAATCTTTGCAGTCACGAAAGCTTCAAATCTAGAAAAAAACATAAACAATCTGTTACGGGTTTTTTTGTGGTGGCTTGGAGAGGCCTTCATCCAGCAGTGAATTCACCGTGGCTTTTGATGATGGGTTTTTTTTTGTTACAAGGCAGTACTGATGACAAACATGTTGTTTTCTTCGTGGCCGGCTGTCAGCAGCACACAGTCTATTTATTTTACTTATTTCCCCTTCTGATTTAGCCGTATGGATTAGCTGGTATGGTTA